GCACATTTAGCTGCCTTGGTTACAAGATTAGCCCCAAAGTCACGAGAGAACAAAATCTGCTATTTGATTAATCTGAAGTGATTCTGTGTCCTGGCGAGTTGCCAGCATCACAAAGTGGTCATAGAAACAACAGTTCTGGCCTTGGATAAGAGCTCTTCAAATTCCCACCCTTAAAAGCAATTGTGAGCAATCTTTACTCTAGAAATGCATTACAGGGTGGAGAAAGAATGGGTTGCTGGGAGCTTCCCCAGGCTTTGACATTAGGAAAACAGATTCACTCAAATGCAGATACACCACCCTAACTTGGTATGTTCTTGCTTTAGTCAGCTGCCACAAGCAGAGATGGATGAAGCAAGGATCCACACCATTTGGAATTACACCTGATTTACAACCAGGACAATTCTTGTCTACAACAAACAGCACTGGCTGACCTGCTCTTTCCATTTCATCCCCTTCTCTTCTACTTCTGGAAGAGCCTAAAGGAGCCATTCCTGTTTTCATAAAGATGCTGAAGGATGAATCCAACTTCCAATAATGCTTAGTAGCAACATCTTCAACCCCTCCTCAAGGATCAAAACCAAACTGGGAAGCCTCTCTGCTGTGTCCCAGATTGACATTCCTACTTCTCTGCCATCTGCACCTCCCAAAGTCACGGGTTTGTTCAGTCACCGACTATGAAACTTGTCACATTCTTGGGCGGCAACTACAAAGGGAGGTGTGCACATCAAGCGATTGATCCAAAGGGTCAAGCGTCCTACCCAGCCCATCTGTGGTATCCTACTTCTTCCTGCTCTGCCTGACATCTGCCTGCCCTACCAGGATGCGGAGAGCAGCAGCCATGGGCCTGCTCCACCTTCCTTCTGCCGGCACAGAAGAGCACAGGAGTCAGCAGAAGGAAACAAGGTGTTCAGTCATGACCAGTGATTAACAGGCAGCACTGCTGCTTCTTGACCTACATCCATCAGTAAGATAGGCCTTGGCCTGATTTTTATAAATCTCCTGCAAAGGTGAGGACTTCAGAGGAGTTTCTTTCCACTTTCAGGCTCTGAAGCACTGAGGTTGAGGCGGGAGGGATTCACGCTTTCTGCTCAAGTCCATGAGAAAATGGCTTTTGAGCTCTACCATTTGCTCAGATTGTGGTCAGTCTTCTGCCCATCTTTAAACCATGAAAGCAGCCATAGCTCATGTACAAGTTGGGTTCTGCAGTGTTTTCCAATTTTTTGCTTAGAAAGATCTCTCGAGTTAAAACAGTAAGTTGTTCTTTCAAAGGTAGCTGGCTTACTTCCGGGTTGCAGCCACCATCTGTTATTTCAGATGAGCCATAATTTTAGATGAGCCATACTTTCATATGCCATTATAAAAATTCACCCCAAATCACAGCTCTAGTATCATTTTATGTGTGTGACTCAATTTACAATTACAGCTTTACACTTTCACATTCCCTCCTTTTAGTCCAAGCCACTGCCCAACACAGACCACAATCTGACCTACTAATTCTCTCCCCACATACATAGCTCCTGGCCCATGCCACAGAGCATCAGAGAGAGAACCTGCCTTTATATACAGGCCTGAGGTGACAAAACATCCCACCCCGACTAGGTATGCTGCTCCACTGTTTAATTATCCCCACTGTTAAATCCAAGGAGTGAGTTCTCCAGTTTCACTGGCCAACCCAGTGATGTAATTCCAACTTCGATGTCTTAGGGGACTGAAAAACTTCAGCCAACTTACTGGGGCCTGCCTTCATGCTTGCTCACCCTACTATTTTCGATACCAATTTTTCCTGGAATTGCTACAAAACATACCAAGCCAGATGCAACCTATTTACTTGCTATTAAGGTAATACTATTACTGAATAGAGTCCAAGGTTTTACTCCCACATGGCAAGCAAAAGCTTGCCTTCGTAGGCAACCCAGATACCTTCTACAGGAAGCAAATGGGTAATGGGATGCTCTTGTACTAGCAGCCAAAAACCATGCATGAAGGCAGCTCTGGCTAAGCCAAGGAATAACCAGGCAGCCTCCAAAACCAGCCAGTCTTCCAACCCTCTGCCACAGAGGAGTACGGCTATTATCCTGTCCCATTGCACACAGCTACAGCCAGGGGACGTGGAACAAAGGCAGAGTGAACTCCCTCCCATCCGCACCTCCAGCATTCCTCACACATTAGATTTACACAGAAAACAGTGGCTTTGCTTTCCTTTCTTTTCCATTACATGCCTGAATACAAGTATGTGAGGGAATTATAAAGTAATTAGTTTGGATAACCAAGCACATAGATTTTACTAGTTAGTAAAGTGTAATTCAGGAAAGCGAATGCCAGTAAAAAGAATGGAGACTGCATTAAAGATGAAATAAACTAAGTACAAATGACTCAACTTTCCAGCAGAGGAATCCATGCCAGGAAAGGATCAAGATTAGTTAAGCTTGTTCTTTTAAAGTGGTTTCTGCTTCAGAGATGCCAGTGAATAAAAATGCAGCAAAAATGAATTATTAATGGTGTAAGTCTTAGGTTAATGCAAGCTATTTCATTCAAAAGGAGAAGAAAACCTTGCAATATTATCTTCCAAATAACAATCTTCATATCATGTATTTCTCAGTATTTTAACAATTAAACATTTCAACCATTCTTGTTAGATAAAGGTCAACCCTCTCAAACCCAGAGAAGTATTTTTTTAGGGATAGTTACCACTACTTCTACTATTAATGGGCTGCAATCCCCAGGTCTCTGTTGGCACTAATACCACTTCGAAACAGCTTGGGTACCACCAGTCATGCATCATACTGTCAGGTTATTTGCAGTATCTGAATTCTTGTTAAAAAAAATTACTTGTTTGGAGCTAGAGAGCTGTTTTGAGATATGCAATGGCTTCAGAGCATAAACAGCTTTATTCTAAAAGTCCCTTACAAAACCAGGAACAGTATGAAACTCAGAGCAATTTCCACTAAAACACAAAGTCAGTGTTAGATGAAGAATCAAATTAAACCCTAATTTTTCTATTAAATATCAGCTGTAATGCCTGGAAATCCTGACAAAGGAGAGGATTCATCTCACCCTCTGGATATTGGTTGCCAGTCTAAACAAGTTGGCCACCCTTTCTCCTTGGGCACTAGAGAGTTGGCCACTTCTAGAGGCATTCCACCACATATTCAAGATGAAACCTATCCCCTTTTCCTTCATTTAAATTTGCTACAGACTTGCAAATTAAAACTGAAAAATTCCCACTCTTAGAGCTGCAAAAAGAAAACCATTTCACTGCAGTTGAATCATTAACATCTGAGGACTTGCTTGAAGTGCCCTAGCTGGGACAACGTCTAAAACTGCCTCACAATCTTGCTGCCAAAGGCCACACACCACTGGTAACAAAACAGATTTGAGGTGGAACAGTGCCCGTTTTGAGGCCATTGAACTTAACCGTTTTCCACTGAACTGAGTGGGCTTCGGACCAAGGCAGAAAAAGATGCTATTCTTTCCCAGCGCTGGCCTGTGTGAGCACAGCAGCTGTTGCAGTGATCAATGAGAAGCGAAGCGGGAGCACGTAAGTGGTCTACGTAATTACAGTGCTGCGCTGGTGAAGCCTGCTTCCTGGGCAAGGCAGCCAGCAGAAGTGAACACCCATGAAGGAGAACGGCATTACTGGCCAGAGCTCGTGCACAAACCTCCCAGGGAGGGATTAAGACACTCACGTAGGGTTTTATGACTGACTCGACCAGTCCTTCAGCAGCCCTGTCCATCAGAGGAACAGTAGGCAAAATATTTAAAGGAACAGTAAAATCTTATTCTTATTGCAATCAAGTTTTCATCCTGAATCTTTTATAGCAATTCACAATCTACTGGCAGAAGAGAGTGTTTTGCGATTGCACAAATACTTCTAGAAATTCATTTTAATTGCAAACTTGTGCGTCTCAGAGCATAAATAGATTCACAGCAAAAAGTCCTCAGCAATCGGAATCGGGAAAATTGCTCCAAAATTTGCAAGGTGCATGTCAAACCCAGGTGCTCTTTGGAAGCATAGTGATGTATTGTTATGATTGTAGAGAACCTCAAGCCTCCAAATGCAGAGCCAAGGGTTTGTTTTGCTGGCTGTAGATACAGGAGACAAAACCTGCAACCCTTGCATGGGAGATTTCAGGATATCAGCCCAGAGGTTACATTCAGGGTTCTGCAGAGGAATCTTAAAACTTTTTCTTTTTTTAAGTAAAAGGCTCAACTGAGATACCTATAAAGAGACAAAAACTTCCACCAACTGATCAGGAAGACATTGATCTAAATGCCTCTGTTTTTATAAGCTGTCATCCCATATGATATCTTTAGGTCTTCCATACAGAAGACAGCATTACATTTAAAGGCTCAAACACAACAGAAGTTGGTACAGCACTGGGAGTGTGTCAGTACACATTTTGGGGTACCCTGAATGTTTTCCCATGCACTGTGTTTACCCTGAGGAGCCTCATATGCTCGCACTTCCCAGCACTTCACCTAATTCATCATCACTACTGAGAATGGCCCTTGATTTGGGCATCCAAGTAGAAGGGCATCTTCACGTTTCAGAAAAACCTGCCCTGGCAATCCTGGATGATCTTTGACCACAGGTTCAAATTAAGTAGTTATGAGGACTCTGCTGTCCAAGACTGCCTCTGGACTGTATTGCTAAAACATTACAGACAGGGAATATATCAAAGGACTAATTACTTCCAAAAATAACTGGGACACTCGCAGTGCTTCCGCATTCACCTGAACGGTCTCAGCCTTCTCTACTGGGATTTAGGTGCCTAAAATTGCAGCTTCCAGAAGTAATATCAAGTTGTTGAACTTTGCCTTCAACAAAGAAGCCAAGCACAATTTAAGTAAATGAATGTGTAAAGTACTGTGATCAGTTAGTCTCTAAAAGGCCTTCACTTTCAAGAACAAAGAGCATAGGCACTTCAGCCTCAGATCCCTGAATATCCCAGGGTGTTTGTGAATCTAAATTCAAGACTAAATTCAAGAGCAGAGCTAAATGCAGAATGAAGGCACACAGGCTGCTGTTTATTATCTACCGGGAAGCTAACATTAGGTCAACACACAGCAACAACCCCTTGCTTGACTTTTTGGCTTTGGCTTTTGACTAGCTGATGGGTCCTTATCTGTGCATTTCTCATCAACATGCTTGTGCACACCTGATAAATAAAAAGGGGTCTCCAAGCTGCTCGTAACTCGGCTTCTATCTTGTTCTTCCACCTCATCGCTATTATAATGATAGGCATATCTGGGGGAACTGGCAGGCTTGTGAGACTTCAGCAGGCGAGGGTTGGTTGGCTGGAAAGGCAGGGCTTGTTGTCCTCTCCGTCTGCACTCCTCAGCAAAGGCTTCTTCATCTGCCTCACCTGAAAAAGCAAAGAGTGCAAGAAAAGTGAGCAGCACCCAAAATGCTTATGTTTAGCCTGAAAAAAATCAAAATTGGCCTGGAAACTGGGTGTCACAAAACTACTGCCTTGGCTGTGGTCGCTCACAGACAGTCCTGTCTATATGCCAATGGAGGAGTGTCTGGAGCTCTATCAGTGGCCTTTCACCACACTGAAGCCACCCAGAAGTCAGCTAGATATGACAACTCAGGGGCCACTGTCTCCTTTTTTCCCCAGGGGCAGGGTGATTGAGCTGAGCACATGGCCTTGGATAATATTTTTGTCCTGTGTAGAGCATGTCATCTCATCCCACCTCACCTGGGCTGTCTGCCTAGGAAGGGTTGGCCCTCCTCAAGGAAAATTTATAGGGAAAGGAGGGAGAAATACCCATGCTGGCTACAGGGATAGTGGGAAAAGAACAAAGCCAATGTGGGTTCAGAGGGGCTAGATGTTGGATATCCACAGCTGGAAGGATAGTAGAGAAGTGTGAAGGACCACATGAAGATGGGAATTGCATTGAAGATGCAAGATGTAAGCCCAGTCCAGAGAACAAGGCCGGCACTCATAACAGCAAATGAACACAATGGAAATAAAAACCTAATGTCTGCAAAACCATGAAAGATGAGTTACTCCTGTCATACTCATGCTGCAGAGACTCTAACAGTACCAACTCTGTGAAGTAGCGAAATCAACTACCATAACACAAAAAAAACCCAGCACAACCACACATTGAACAGCAAACAGTAAGACAACACATAAAAAAGCCAACCAAAGACATTCAACATGGAAAATAAGGGGTAAAAACAAAAAACAAAACACCAAAGTGAGAAGAAAGGTGTGTACCACATTTGTCTGTTAAAGGCTTCTTAAAGTTTCATTAATTCAATTACTTCAGTACTTTTAATAGAGCTGATGAAATACAGCGTCATTCTATTTGCATCAAAAGTGGTGTGTCACATTCTGGAAGTTTTTCCTGGGATGTGCCCTGCATCAGCTGCTTAGGGAGGGGTGTGTGCTCTCAGCTAATGCGTGTGCTCTTAATTCACGGCTGGAAAATGCTTTGAAGATGGAAAAGGCACCACGTATGCAGTAAGGAACAAGAGCAGTAATACGCACTTTGTTGTGTGCACCAAACCACCACCACTTTCAAACAAACCAGGCTGCATTGTCTTTACCTTGTAATCGTACGTGGGGAGATGCTTCGGAGGGCAGGAGGAAAAGGAGGCAAGGCATGTTTAAAAAAGACATTTCACAGTGCAACGCAGCACCCAAGGCCTCATGGGAGGACTCCAAGACATGCCTCACATTGCCCCGCTGTGTGTTTGACCACCTGATGTGCATGGACATCATGCAGAGAACCCTTCTTCCTGGGTGATTAAATGTCCAATCCTCCCCCAGCACTCACACTTTTTTTACACTGGAGCCTCCTGCACTTCCAAAGGCACAGGCAAACAACACAAGAATGCAAGTGATGGCAACACCAAGGATGTGAGTGTTTAGACACCGCCTGCCTGCATCGTACCAATGTAAAACTCTGGGTGTGCAGTTCCCCTTGCAGAAGGAGGAGGCTGGCAGGACAGCTTTCTTCTCCTTGCATGGAGCACAGCTCTTCAGCTACAAGAGGTGGTGAACAAGGGAAAGCTCAGAAAACAACCCGTACAGAATTGCCACCATTTCCCCATAAGAGGCCACAGGATTTTACACGCTATGCAGACAGAACTGCAGCATGTATCAGTCTGGTAACACCAGGTCTGTGAAAACAAAGCCTATAACAAGCCAGAAATTAAAAATCAGCATGGGAAACCAGTGTACACCAGTTGCACATACAGACGCCAATCAAGAGAGTTCACTTCCCAACAAATTACAGTGCACCAGAAATAGGAGATCCCTCCCCTTCCATGGAAACACAAACTGCATGGCTGTCTTATGTGCAAAGTCCTGCTTGATGTGTTTAAAATTCATATTGGCAAGCAGATGCAGGAACGAGAAACGTGCCGTGGACATCTTCAAACCTCTGTGCATGTGCTCGTGTGTGTGCATCGCAGAGGCACCTCAATCAGACACACTAACTACTGGACTCAGGGAAATAGCATCCCTTTGGAAGTTTATCTTCAGCCTTTTCCTTCTAGGCTCCCTACCTTTCTGTCATCACGGATTTGCAATCAGAATTTTTGCTAAGCTGAGCGGACCTGTTACACTGCAAGAAAATTTCCCCTTAAGCTGCCATCAGTATTACTCTGCCTTTCGGGGTGAAAGCATTGCAAACCGGAGGGGCTGCACCGGTGTGCCACTAAACACAGTGCAGTGGCAACAGAAGTCAAGTACTTCACTTACTTTGAATCGACTGCAAAGTTACCCAGTTTTCCTCCAGACGAATAATTTGCGTTCCCTATTTCTGGGCTGCCCATGCCAGCCCCCATCTGTGCTTCACCTACAGTGAAGCCTGGGAAAATGCAGAGCTGCTCCCCACCACTACACAGGCAGCACATTTCGCTGCTGAATCACAGAATGGTTTGGGTTGGAAGGGGCCTTTGTAAGTCATCAAGTCCAACCACCCCTAGAGCTAGCAGGGACACCTCCCACTAGACCAGGTTGCTCAGAGCTCCATTCCACCTGACCTTGAACACTGCCAGGGATGGGGCAGCCACAGCTTCTCTGGGCAACCTGTGCCAGTGTCTCATCACCCTCATCATAAAAAGATTCTTCCTTGTATCTAGTCTGAATCTGGTTTCCTTCAGTTCAAAGACATTAGTCTGTGCTCTATAGCTACAGGCCCTGTAGCTGTCTGTCTGTCTCTTTCTTATAAGCCCCCTTTAAGTATTGAGCCAGACTGAATAAAACTAGCTGTACCCATTGCAAATAGAAGACTTGAAAAGAATTTACTCTAGGAAAGGTCAGCCACACAGGGCATCACCACCGCCAAGTGCTTAAACATTGCTGGAGCTTTGTCAGCAGTGATGTTTGTCCTGGAAATGGCTTTTAGGAAGACAGCTTGTGTGCAGGGGGGTCCATAGCTGAGTTCAGAGCTGGAATACCCACTTGAGAAGCAGCTTCCAGGGGTGCTCCAGCTTTAAACAGCCCTCGGTTCCCCTCACAGCTCCTTCTCCTGTGCCTCCAAGCCAGCACTCCCACGTGAGTGCCTGGGCAGCCGCACCGTGAACCCAGGCACGGGACGGGACCGACCCGAGTTAAAAATAACACCCTTTCTGTGAGCTTATTTTTAACCCAGCTCAGTGCCTGGATCCAGCTCAACCTGCAGCTGCCCCAGCTGGGGCAGGGAAGGGGGCAATTACTGGGGGCTGCTGGAACCAGCATCCAGATTACAGGGCTAACCAAAAGCTCTTATTCTACTAATGCGAGTAATAATTACAAACCTTGCAGCTATTTCACTTGCAAAACCGGTCTGGGGAAGTCACATTTCTACGGATTAATTCTGAAAATGAGGGATCTACTGGTGACGTTTAAAAACAGTAATTAAAGTCTGGGGTTCTGGTGCATCAGCTCCTCCTAAATGAAAAGCAGCTTCTGGGGAAAAAGAAATCAAACATGAGCTGTAGCATCCTACAAAGTTCCATCAGGACCAAATCCTGCTGTCTGCTCCAACCAAGAGGGGCCAAAAGATAATTTGTCATAGCAAAGTGCTGCTGTATGTAAGGGGAAAATATGGATCCTTTAAGCTGTAATTAACCAGTAGAGGGCAATATTGCCTATCATGAGGGTCAAAGTTATCAGGAAAGTCACTGCCAACTTGTACTTACTCAGTAATATATCGATTTTGTACATCTAAGGCAAACCCCAAGTACAATTCTTGGACTAGGTGGGTGCTCTGGGGGAGCCACCAGCTAAACCAAGGGGTCCATGTGTGCTCCTGGGAAATGGAGTTAACACAGAAATAAAAGCAGAGGATATTGCAGGTGAGGTGGGACAGCTAAGGCACGGAGCACTTCACAAAAAACAGGGGCTAGCATCATTACCTTGTGTTGCATTTAAATAACATTCATGTACATCCTGGAATTGACCTGAAATCCTACCAGGAATCAGCACTAATTAATGGCAAGATAGTAATTAAGAGGAACACACTGAACGAACCAGGGTAAACATCCTGAGGATATCGAACCACTGATTTACATTCACCATGTCACTTCCCGTGCAAGAGGAAGCAGAACCTCGTGGTTCCCGCATGGCAGCTCTACCGCTCGCAGGCTATTTTCTGACACAGCTAACCAAAAGAAAAACGCATGGAAACCAGGATTTTCCCCTGCATTAAGAAACAAAGAGTGGGCACACCAGTTTGCTCAGGCCAAAGGAAGACTTCCCCAAGGCCATAAACACCACACAGCCCTTCCTGTAACCGGCATCAGAAGATGTGACTGCTGAAGGACATCTGGCTTTATCCAAGGACACAAGATGCTCCGAGCTCACCTCCAGCCAGTCAGTTGTGCAAGGTTGGTTTGCAGGAAACTTACTGCATTCAAATCTTTCTTGAATGATGGCCAGCAAAGTGTCTAATACTTTAAGACTTTAAAGTTATGGGGCAAGAAGCCTGAAGCTCGGAGCAGGACACTGTATTGCTGATTCTAGAGAAGAGTCAACTGGAAGGTTGAGCTGCTACTGATGCCAACCGACAACACAACAAGAGGGCTAAAGAAAAAACGCTTTGCTTGACTTTTCTCCTGCCTCCTATTACAATGGCTTGGAATTTACCCTATGCCTGTAAGAGAGCACTGGAGTTTCTGATCAGTCAAATGATTAGTCAGGGACTGTAGCAATAGACAAGGGATTAACGGGTTAAAACTTAAACAGGGGAAGTTTAGACTGGATATAAGGAAGAAGTTCTTTACTGTAAGAGGGGTGAGGCACTGGAATGGGTTGCCCAAGGAAGCTGTGAACGCTCCATCACTGATGGTGTTCAAGGCCAGGTTGGACAGAGCCTTGGGTGACATGTTTTAGTGGGAGGTGTCCCCACCCATGGCAGGGGGGTT